TTCCAGCGTTAGAATATTTTTGTTTTGTTTTTAATATTCTTTGTTTATATTTTAATGTCCTTGTTATATGTTATATGCAGAGATATTTCTCTGGTTATATATATAACCATATAACATATGTTATGTTGTCACCTTTTTTTATTTATTACTTGAATAAAGTATTTTGCCTAACATTTCTTGTCTTTAATTGCATTAAAAAAATTGTATCCAAAGTTTGGATTCCAAACTTTAAGCCAAAATAGAGCGGTATAGCGGAATTAAGCCGGATTTATAGTTCTAAAAAGTAGGAGTAGCAGTAGCAGTAAGCCAGTGTTGCCAATATAATAATAAGACAATAAAATGTCTGCAACGTGATTGGCTGGAGTAGGAGTAGCAGCAAAAAAAGTTAAAACTTGGCCATGTCTTACGCCAACGACCTTGATTGCTACTGAATGCTACTCCACCCATTTACATTACAGCATTTATATTATTATATTGGCAACACTGGCTTACTGCGCTACTCCTATTTTTAGAACTATAAATCCGGCTTTAGGATAGTTTCGGCTGTACCGCAGCGGAATTTTGATATTCTTGTAGCGTTATTTGTTATTTTCGAGTTGGCAACACTGTTTGTAAGTATATGATAATTTTAAATAAAGAAATAATTTAATGTTTACATTGTCAAACACTATATTAAAAAATGAACATAATATTAATAGTGGATTCTTTTTTTACTGGCTTAATATTGTAATAATTATTATAATAGTAATTACTTAATAATGTAAAATATTACAGTTCATAAAGGATATATTAATAAATCAAGACCTTAGATCTGCTAGAGCACAAATTATAAAGAGTTCTCCTCTGTGTGCTAAAGCAAGAGTATTAATTCCAGGTTTTTAAATTGTGAGGTTATAATGTAGTATAATTTTTTTTTATTTTATCTATTAGAATACATTTTACACAAAAATTGGAAAAAGTGGACTAAATACTCTTTGGCTCGATTGTTTTAGTTAAATTACTATCATAGATAAGATTACTATTTAAATTATAAAATTAAATCTACCTGTCAAATGCCGTGCACACAAAACTCATAACCATAAATAATAATAATAACATAAAACACAGAACATAAGCATACAAAACCCTACTGAAAAAAACACAGAACATAAGGAAAAAAATACATATAAGAAATACCTAAGTAAAATATGTAAACAGAACAGAAAACAAGACAAGTCTGGTGCAGTGTTGCCAGAAGTGGTACCATTGATATTCTTTGTAACTTTAAAAATATTTTTTTTTAATTGCACAGGCTATATAAGTACCTACATAAAAGTATATATCATTATATTATTTTATGTATAAAAGAAGTTAAACCACTTCAAATAGTCTACAACCAAAAAAAATACCAGAAAATCAGTTAAATATCGTGCAAAGAACACCTTCTTCTTTGATATCGTGTTTCCAAACACCAAAAATGAAATTCCCTACAGATGTCGTTTTCTAGCATGGATTTTACACATTTTGTGTGTAAAATTCTTGGTTTCCAAGTTTGCAATGCAAAATATTGCATTATATGCACAGAACATAATAACATAACATATATGTCTTATGCAGTGCTGCACAGTGCTGCCACACCCTCTCACCGACTGACGTCGGTAGATATCAAGAAATAAATCGGTAGATTTCGGTTTAAAATCGGTAGATGGTTGCCATATGCGCCTGCCGTGCGGCTGCTTGAACGTTTTTAAACTGATCATAAGGGGACTGATAATAAAAACAAGTTAAACTATATATTGCAATATATTGCTTTCGTTTAATTTTTGTACAAACTTTTTTTTACAAAGATTTACAAATTAAAATCAAATAGATATTTAAAAACTTTAAATCAAATATTTAAAAACTGAAAAATAAATATTTAAAAACTAAATATAAAAAAGGATGACTTTGATTTTGTATAATGGGGTATAGTTAAATTTTTTTGTGACCTATACTTTTTATGGTTTTATTCAAGGCGTTTTGTAATTTTAAACATTCTGTGAAATCAGAATTTCAATTAAGTCATGAAGTATATCTTCTTTTTAAAGTGTTTCGTGTTACAAAATACCGCGCGCGCCTAACGTTGGCTAACGGAGGGTTTAGATGCAAGTCGGCACGGGTTCCCGTTGATAGAATGAGCTGAAATTTTTACTGGGAGTATATAAACAAGTAATAAATATAATTAAGCTACATTCGTAATGAATTCGCTGGCCGAGTGGCAATTTGACTCGCAAGCTAAAGCAAATGTGTAACAGTGTGATCGTTCACAATGAAATTCGACGTTAAAGTGGAAGTTGAAGTGGGGCAAAATTTCTTGCAAGCTGCAAACTTCGACTTCAACTTCGACTTTCGTGCCGGCTATGCGACATGCGCATTGCCTTTGTTATGAAGTAGGGATGCGCATCGAATACAAAAACATCGATGTTGGCATCGATGTTGACATCGAAGGTTGAATATTGATGTCATCGATATATCGGGTAGAAAACATCGATTTTTCCAAAAAATCGATGTTTCAAACTAAAACACAAGTCTAAGAAAAACATGTATAAAATATACTTATTTCCAACTTATAAAAAAATACACATAAAAAAATAAACAAAATAAACTTAAATTCTCTTTTTTTTAATTAAAAAAAAAAAACTAAATTATTAGCCAAAAAAAGTTAAGTTAAATCCCAATTTTGCCTATCCAAGTTCTGTAGAAACAGTAATTTAGACAACAGCAGTGTTGCCAACTCGAAAATAACAAATAACGCTACAACAATATCAAAATTCCGCTACGCTCCGCTACACCCGAATCTATCCTAATTCCCGCTACACCCGCTCTATTTTGGCTTAAAGTTTGGGGATCCAAACTTTGAATACATTTTTTTTTAATTTAAATAAAGACCAGAAATGTTAAGCAAAATACTTTCTTCAAGTACCTAATAAATATTATAACAAGAAAATTAAAATATTTATAAACAAACAATATTAAAAACCAAAACAAAAATATTCTAACGCTGGAAGTCCCGCCCGCCCGTTAAAGATAAACAATACGCAAGCCGCGGTAGCATTTATAAATTCTACGGCGACTATGTTATAATATTACATAGGGCTGAGTTTCAAAAATAAAAATTAAAAACTGGGTGTGCAAAGTTACCCCCTGGTTGCGGGTTACTTTGTCTCACAGTGTATTTTCCGTATAAAATGAATTCAATATTATATTTTATTTTTATTAGACACGTGTTAGCAGCGACATATATCTATTGCAAGGGATTACCGATAAAAAAAAAATAAAAAATCGACCAAGGATCATCATTCCAATGGATTTGCGCATAATATAAGAGTTTTTGCACTGATGCGATATATACAATTTTAAAGTGTAATAAATACCATTTATTTCTTTAAAACACTGATTTTCCTGTAATATAAACTCAATAGAATCGCTCAATTGACAGGTTTAGACCAACAAAATTATAAATGTTAATTTTATCGAGCGCGAAAAGATTTTTCATAAATGGGTTAAAGTCACCCGCGGGGTGCAAAGTCACCCGTGTTAGATTTAATGATAAAATTTAAACTAAAAAAATTAACTTATGATAAGCAATTTGTTTTAGATGTTTTACTAATACGTATTTAAAAAAAAACTAAATTCCGCTACGTTTTGCCATCATTTTGTTCCACCGCCTCTACGCCGCTCTTGGGGGTAAATCCCGCTATGCGTAGCGGAATTCCGCTACGGTTGGCAACACTGGACAACAGTAACATCGCAAAGTCTAACATCGATGTCATTAAAACATCGAAAATGCAAGATCGATGTTAAAAAATCGATGTTCACTTCAATAAAATCGATGTTTGACGAACAACGAATATTCGATGCGCATCCCTATTATGAAGGTTTGACATTTTCAATAGCGTTGAGTTTTGTGTGTGTAGTGTTTTTAATGTGATTAAATACATTTTTCTTTGCTTTATTTAAATAAACTACCCATTGATAATGTACATGTATGTATGTATGTATGTAACTTAATGTATACTAGTTTATTATTATTATTTATTATAAAGAGAACATTAGTGTTTTGTAACACATTTTAATAAGAATTTATCACTAAATAAACTATTACACGACATAAGTAAACTATTTGATTGATTGTTGTCCATTTTTGCATTTAAAAAATAACACCAAGCAAAAACAAAATAATGCAAATTCTAACCTAACAAAGAACATGACAGTTACCAACGCCCATGCGTTAAATTCGAAAGTTATTGTGAATGGTAAATTTCGTGCCGACTTGCGTGCCAAAGTGTCACTCGGCCAGCGAATTCATTACGAATGTAGCTTTAGAGGGTATGCGTAAAAAAAATAAAAATAAGGGACACCCTAATGTTCACGCATGATTTTTATTTTAATAACATCGTTAAATTAACATTTATAATCAGCGTAAAATCTACTTTATATTACATATTTACTAATCTTTAAATGTTGGTTCACGTTCCCAGTCCTTGTGTTTCTTCGTATATTTGGCCCATTTACCCAATTTTTAACACCGAAAACACAGGGTGCCCGAAAACTTAAAGAAGAGTTATCTATGGGGCCGAGGATGGCGCAGTGGGTTGAGCTACAGAGCTGTAAGCAATCTGCGTCTAACGGTACCGGGTTCGATTCCCGGTCACAGCCTTGGGTGTTGTGGTTGTTTATTAAACAAAAATAAATACCTATCATGAGCTGGCTAAATAGTCTTCAAAAGACTAAAAGTCAATAAAAAAAAATAAAAAAGAAGAGTTATCTATCGCCGAAAATCGCCCAAATGGCGACTTGTGATTTTTGTAAATTTATGGTCGCCAGAGCGAGTTAAAAATCGCCCAATTTGTGATAAATCGCCCAATCTGGCAACACTGGGCGTTGGTAACACTGATTACAAAGAACATAACTGATTACCACATAACCTCTTTTACTTGAAAACCTAAACCAAAACAAAACCCGTTTTGGTTGAAAATAGATACCTATTTATTTTTACGTTATAAAAATTAATATTTTGGTAAGTTTAAAGTTAATTGTATTTAAAAGAACATCAATTAATTATTGTCTTATCTCCAAATATATAGGTTAGAATATTCAAAATAAAGCAATGCTTTCCATAAAAGAAATTGAATTGGTAACACAAACTGCTCTTAATAAAGAAGAATTGGACAAACAAATACTAAAGTGTAAAAATCCTTTAAAATTAAGGACTCTTTTATATATAAAACATGAAAGAATTAATGAAGAATTTGATTCCAAGCTGGATCTAAATTTCAAAGAAATATGTAAAAATGATAACGAAAACATTGAAACAATTTGTGAGTTATTAAGGGTGTCCTTAGTAATAACAAAAAATGCAGAGAAACAGTCTGAACATATTTTAATTTATTGTTTGACTAGAATTAGGGAACAGAGTAACAACAGTAAAATTGTGTTAAGAATGTTAAAAATTATTCATGAAATACTCAAATATTACAAAGTAAACAGTAATATTGCATGTAATATGTATGAGGAATTAAACATGATTTTATTGATCTTATTTAATTGCAATTTTGAAGATGTTACAATTTTTATTAACTCATACATAATTTCCAATTATTTATGCTTAATGCCATCAGCACTTCTTATAAAATTTATAAATGATATTTTTATTCTTTGTATGACCAAGCAAAATCTTAGTATATTATGTAACTTGTATAATTACATTCATCCTAAAAATAATTCATCCCTTTTTAACAACTCTGAGTTTTGGGAATATTTATCTAATTGTATTAAAAGTGACAAAACTTATTTGGCTAAACAGGCAATTTATTTGTTAACTAAAAGCATACATATTATTTATTTAGATAGTCCTGGAACAATAGATAATACTTATGTTCAAATATTGCATTCAGAAAATCCTTTAAAAACCTGGAATGTGTATTTTAGTTTATTGGATATATCAAAGGAAAAACAATTGCATTTAATACAGCCATCTTTAAAATTATTAAATCAAATTAAATATATGCATATAATTTGGCAAAAAAGTTTGTATTGTATTTTAGTAAATCATAGCCAAATATCTGTTATATACACTACAGCTTTAGAAATACTTATAAATGCCACCCCAAGTAATTTGGAGATTGTATTTAATTTGGTACTTCCCGCAATTAATAAAAATGAGTTAACATCAAAAACTTTGGTAGTTTTTTTTGAATTATCAAATTTAGTAAGAAAAATGGATGAAAAACAATTGGTTGATTTTTTAAAAGCTTCGTTGATGGTTCCATGGAATCCTACATCTCTTTGGTGCATATGCTATTACATATTTAAATCAGATTTTATTGAAAAAGTACCAATAAGTTTTTATGATCAAATCATTGGATTAATACAAAAACTACCCAATATTTACATAAGGGATGGTTGCACTAATGTGTTGCATAATTCTATAATTAATTTAAAAAAAATACTTACTTTTAAAGAGTTTTTAAAGGTTTGCCAAATATTTTTGAGCATTGATAAATATCCCATGTTAACAAACTTTGTTGTTAAACAATATAGGAAAGAATACCTTGAGGATATTAAAAATGTTATCGATTTTCAGAATAAATTTGTTGATAATACATTTATTTTATGTTTAAACATAATTCAGATATTAAAATTGAATATTTGTGTACAATACTTTACAAATAACATAGATAATTATGGTTCATTGTTATTGTTACAAATATTTAACAAATTTCCTGAGATATTTCCCGAAAAATTAGACAAGTTTACCAAACATTTTCCATTGCAGGATACAACCATAGATGTAAATATATTATTAAGGGTTCTCAAATATGTAGATGATAAAAATTTACAAGAAAAGCTCAGTAACATTTTAATGCTGGATCCACAAGACTTGGATAGCAAAATAAATTGTGATAATATATATTTATCTTTCAAACTTCTACATAGAGAAAACCCTAAATATGTAGAAATATTAAAGTATTGGGAAAAAATAATTTTAAATGGCTCCTTAAAAATTAACAGCAAAATATGCATTTGTTTTATTGATAAATATTTATCTTCTGATTATGATAAAAATAAAAATATTAAAGTAATAAAAAAAATATTAGAAATTATTTTTGACTCTCAAACTGATGACGTTATTGTTAATACGTTTAGCAAATTAAAATATTTAATTAATATTGCTGGAAATGACATAGAGAATTTATTGGAATTATATTACAGTCAGATTAAAAAATTAAAAATAAATGGAGGTTTTAAAGATGCAATTAAAAATTACATTGAGGTAATCTTTGGATTGGTTGGCAAAAATCAAAATATTGAATTTATTCTGGAAAAATCTAAATTGTTATTAGAATTAGCTAAAACTTTTGAAGTTATTTATTATTACATTGCTTTATGTATACACAATGAAGTTTCAAAACATTATAATGAAAATGTTAGTAACTTATGTATCCCTTTATTAATTGACATTGTCCTGCAAGATGCATTAATACATAAAGAAAAAAAGTAAGTTGTATCCATGTGTAGCTACACATAATTTATAATTAACTGTTTTTAAATCTTGTATTTTAGAGTTGAATATGCAGTTTGTCAGGAAATTTTGAATAACTTTAAAAATTATAGAGACAGGTGAGTATTATGTAGTAAATTTTACATTTAAATACAATAATTCATATTTATAGTCCCTATACTGTACAGTTAAAAGGAAGGACTTTAGCAATTGAGACATTATACAAAATATCCAAAAGAGGTAATTCAGATACCATTGCTAAAAATCTGCTAGCCAAGTACAAGCAATTTTTTAATAAAAGATATTTTCCGGATTCTCAGGTAATATAACACATAGATTTAATAGAAAAAAATGGTTCGCCCTGGCGGTCGCGCTTCTTTACATTACAGACAATTCACCACCCTAGGCAGCTAAGCACTTTGGGTTTTGGTGTTGGGGAATATTTCTAATATTTGTTTAACATATCAACAAATTTGTCCTTTTTCAAGTACCATAAAAAAAGATTTAAAACTACCTATTATAAAAATATTTTCATACAGAGTACTTTTTGTCACACCTTAAAAATTAATTAACTATATAGCTCAATTAATTATATTTGCTCCAATAAAACATGCCAACCTTAGATGCAACGCTTACCGCCTTTACCGTAGTAGAGTTTCGGGATTGGAAACCCTACTTATAGGTATACAGGGTGTCCCAAAACTCTGTGAAACGTTCTTCAGGAACTTCAAGTACCTAATTCACAGAAAAATATTAAAAATGTAATATGGGCAAAATTCTTTTAGTTATGCAGGTCCAAATAACTTGTTAATAATATAGTTGACTATATGCACGCAGTTGTTTTGTAACTCTTACAAGTTAAACAAAGATCATTTTTAGTGATTTAAAAATGGTTCAGGCTTTCACATGAAAAGTTTTATTCTTAATCAAGTATATGGCAAGCTAAACAGCATTAATTAAATAATAGTTTGAAGATTAAAGTTTAGCACTTTAATGATGTTTTAACATAAATTTAAAAAGTTAAATTTTTTAAACACGAAACAATTGATACTCAAAAAATATTTTAAACATAAAATGCAACTGTAAAAATTTAGCTTAAATATGATATTTAAAAATTATAGTTGAAATATTTTATTCTACAAAATTATTGCTTTAAATTTGTAAAGAGTGATATAAATGATAAATTTTTAATACAAAAATCCCCACATTACATTTAAATTTCAAAGTGGTAATTTTTTTATTAAAAATTTATCGACCATTATTTAAATGGCTCTTTACAAATTTATACCAAAACTTTTAAATTGCATTTTTAAGACAAAATTTATAACTTTGCATTTAAGTGTAAGTCGATAATTTTTAGTTTACAAAGTGTAAACGTAGCTTTAGCAGAAGGCGTACGCTGTCTCTTTCTAGAGTGGTCAATTTTAAGCAATGCTCATAATATATGGTGAAACGTACAAAGCGCGCAAATAAAAGTTAATGGTTTAAATTTCTCAAGAGTCATTCAAATGATAGTCGATAAATTTTTATTACAAAAATTACCAATTTAAAACTTACATTTAAATGTAATGTGAGAATTTTTCATTTAAATGACTCGTTACAAATTTAAATCAATAATTTTGTAGAATAAAATATTAAAAGTTCAATTTTTAAAAACCAATATTTTAAACTTAAAACTTTTACATTACTTTTGCATTTTATATTTAAAATATTTTTTGATTCTCAATAATTTTGATTTTAAAAGCATTGAAATTTTAAAACTATTTTGGTAAAAAATGTTTAATATGTGTTTTTATTTGAAATGTCTCTACACTATTTTTAAATACTAAAAAATTGAACTTAACCAATTTAATCTAAATAATTTTATAAAATATTTATTTAGGATTTAAAAAATTCTGCCCAAATAAACTATACTTAAGAAATATTTTTTTTAAATGATAGTTAAAAAATGGTTGGAAATAATATTGTTTAATACAGAAGTGAACTGTTAGTTGGTAAATTTTGTCTTTCAGTACATGATAGTTGAAAATATTTTAAAAATTTTTAGTTAGGAAAATTTTAAACCAATAAAATTTTAAATTAAAAAATTATTTAATAAATGTTAATTGTTAGTGTAAACGATAAAAATTTGCCGCCCCCTGAAAATTTGTCGCTCCAGGCAGCTGCCTACTTAGCCTGCCCGGTAAATCCGCCACTGGTCTAACATTAAAAAAATATATAAAATAAAATCTAAAATACTTCTGTCACGGTGTTCTAAGAGTTGATTTTTGGACTTTCTGCGAAACCTAATTTTTTTTTATATTCTTGTTAATTAGGTCATAACTAAAATTTTAAGAGCAAAATAAAAAAAATTTGACGGTTAATTTTGTTTTAATTGGATGTTTATTAAAAATATGTATGCACACTTTCAATTCTCCAATTAAAACTTGCGATTTTATTTAAATATTATCATAACTTTTTAAATCAGATTAAAGATTAGTTAATTTCCTAAAAAAAGGTCTATACATTTTTTATATCTTTTACTGTTTTGTTGTAATACACGTTTAAAGTTTTAATTTAAGGTTAAATGTATAGTATACATTTATTAAACAATAATTCTAAGGGTGTCACATTTTATTTAGGGCCGATTTATTCATTTTTGATTTATTTGACGAATAATTTCTTTGGATACTAGATATTGCCAAGACATGAAAGTTATCGGCCCGATAAACTTTACTAAAGATAAATAAACCGGTCCTTAGTTAAATTTCATGAATTTCTTCGTAACTTTTACTACAATTTTTCATTTTTGTTTATAAAAAAAACTTTAAAAAACTAAACAAAAATTATAGAATACGTATACTGAAAATGAGAATTCAAACGTCAAATAAATTTTTAATAGATCTAAGTTTCATGGCAACCTTTAAGGATATATTAATTAAGGGAACATAAATGTATATGTCAAAGGTTAGATTAAAAGTTTGAACGTTTATTGCAAAAAAACAGTAAAATATATAAAAAAAAATTGTAAAAACCTTTTTTTTAGTTATGCAAATATTAAATATTTAAATTAAATCGCTAGTTTTAATTGGATAAAAGAGTGCATAATATTTTTTATAAACAGCCAATTAAAACAATTCAAACCGTCAATTTTTTTTATTTTGCTCTTAAAATTTTAGTTAAGACCTAATTAACAAGAATATAAAAAAAATTAGGTTCCACAGAAAGTCCAAAAATCACCTCTCAGAACAGCACCATGCTGTATGTATTCTTATTTTGTAAATAGACAGAAGTCGCAGCTACTCTATTAGTGAATAAAATTGTACTTAGAACTTAAAACAGTAACATTTATATTTAATTAAAAACTTATTAAGGTACATGAAGCATGCGTATATGTGTGCGTCTTAGCCGATCGCCAGCGACCAGCCGAATCATTTTCCGAAAGCGCCGAATATTTTTAAATCCTATGTACTGTTTTATTTGAGTTCTTTATCACACAAAATGACTTTTTATTCACTAATAACGAAGCAATGTTTTGTAAATAAAATTTGATACAAAAACTTTTATCGCACCCTGTATATTGTCGATCTTAAGCGTCGTATAAATATTGTGCTGAGACTTGGGTCTTGGACTGTATTTTACTTTTTTTAGATTTACATACAAAAGCTAAGGATATGCCAATTACTGCTAATATTTTCTCCTCAACTAGAAAATGAACAAACTGCACTGAGAAACTTTATACTAAGAAGTTTTTGCGAAGAAATTCACCAGCCTTGCATAAGACAACTGATGCAGTGGTTGTTAATATTAATAACAAAAAATGATGTGTATGAGCAAATATTGACAATTAAAAAAACCATAGACGGAAGTACCAAAACACAGCCTTCAACAATAGCGGCCTTTATACCTGTTTTAATGCATTTAGCCGTAACAAATCAGGATTTTTATTTAGACGTTATACAAATATTATTGCCTTATTGTATGGGGGCGCATTTTAAACTTAGAGTTTATTCCCAGGTAGGTACCTACTTAAAATGCTCGGTAGTTGTTCCTCAGACAACTTTTGCACAATATCTTAATTACTACCCCAACCAGGGGCGTAACATTTTTTTTTTACTTTTTTGTAGATCGCATTTAAAATTTTGTATGATAAATCATTAAAGAAAGAATTTACAGAAGTAGTATCAAAATATGAGTTTCTAATAACATCAGTTAAACAAATAATTTTGGCCAGTGGAAAAGCGTTTTATGACACCTTGGGCACAGATTTATACTTTTTTACAACTCTGGATACTCAGGCACATTTTTCAATAAAATCAATTTTCTATGATATACCCAGACATAACAGTGTTACTCCTGTAGAATGGGAGAATATTTTATACTCTGAAGGATTCTTGAATATAATAACGGGATTAAATCTCTTTGATGAATCTTTTGAAACTGAAAATACAGTTAAAGAATATATAGAATATATGGAAGGAAATAACAACATACAAAAGAAAATCACACCATGGAAGGATGCCTTACAAGAAATAAACAATACTGATTCAGATTTAATACTAATATCTTCACTTATAGACAAACTACCAAATTTGGGAGGTTTATCTCGTACATGCGAGGTTTTTGGCGTTAAAAACGTAGTCCTAAACGACGTCAAAATATTAAACGACAAAGAATTTAAAAGTTTAAGCATGTCTTCAGAAAACTGGATTAATACTTTGGAAGTCAAGGTTGATGCGTTAAAAGACTTTATTTTAGAAGTTAAATCACAAGGGTACACGATTATTGGAGCTGAGCAAACTGCTGAAAGTGTTATGTTGGATAAATATCGGTTTCCTAAAAAATCGGCAATTTTACTAGGGCAAGTAAATACCTATAGTCATAATTCCTGGATATTAATTCAACAATAATCCACCCAAAAGTCATAACTAATAACTTATTTTTACAATTAAATATTTTGGCGATATTTATTTAGAAAATTAATTACATTTACAATTCTGAAAATTGTTGTGTATGATAAGCTGAACTTTACATGGATATTGAAAAAAAAATATTTAAGTAGTTTTTTATAACTTTGTTAACAAATGCAATTTTCAACTAGTAATTCATCTCAAATTAAAATTTTGTTAAGACTTATATCTAAATTGGCCATATTTACAAAAAAGCAATGACAGACATGCAAGTCATGTGACCTTAAATTAAAGAATTTTTAACAAAGTTCAATAATCTTTAAAAATATTTACTGAATCAGAAAATTTTAAAACTTTAAAATTCAATTTCTCGAAAAAACTGACCTGCTACAGATAAACTGTAAACGCTAAAAAATTAATTTTTGTTGTACATTGTAATTAGTTAGTATAGCTTGTGAATACAATATTAAATATTATTAAAGTTATTTATAATTATTAATAATGAGATTACAACATAAGAGGCGCCTCTTATGTTGTAATCTCGTTATTAATAATTATAAATAACAATATTGTTGCATTGGTACCGACTTAATATATGTTTTATTAAATTTTCATATTACATAAAAAATCGCGGGCCCACTTCAGGAATTCTGACTCTACAGTAATTAAAAACTAATTATATTAATTTCTTTTTCAGTAACGAAAAAGAGGGTGTACCGGCAAATTTAATCCCCCTATTGGATGTGTGCGTGGAAATCCCGCAACAAGGAATGGTTAGATCTTTAAATGTGCACGTGGCAGGAGCTGTTTTTATATGGGAATACACAAAACAACATTTTGTTTAAAATTTATTTACTTACTAAAATAAATATATTTTGTTTAAATAACGTTTCTCAACAAATAACCTTTTTAAACAAGTAATGTAAAGCTCAATAGCTGAAAAAATCAATATATTAGTACAGGCACAATACTTTTAAGCCTTACACTACCAAATTATTAAAACTTAATGCGAGCGCGCTATATCCGAAAAGAAATGTAAAATATCATCAATTGTAAATTCTAATGTTACCATGGATCCAGGATAACATTGCTGGATTAAGTCCTCTAACATTTTGTATTGTCTTATAAATTCTTCTTGCATTGCTCTCCAGACCACTTGCAGCAAGTTGCCTTCTTCTGAAAGATGCTTTTCAACTTTTTTGTAGAGGGCTTCTAAACCTTTTTTCACCTGTACAAAAATATTTATTTATGTCATTAGGCCAAGAAGCGAGTCCTTTTGTAATTAGCTCAAAGCTCAATTAGCACAAAATACCTTTTGAACTAATAACATACAACATTTTATTTTCAATCAGTCTACCCTTGTGGAAATTTTTCTCTGAAAGCTTTAATGAGTAAAAATAAGAGTTTTTAACTCTTACTTTCTCTTAAAAAGTCTGAATAATACTTATTAAGTCGGAAAGTCAGAGTAAGACTTATTAAGTCGGAAAGAGTCTGAATAAGTCTTAGTAAGTCAGACTAATAGCAAGATTTTGGAGTCTTTTAGAAGAGTTAATAAGACTTTTTTTTAGCAGAGAAATGGTAGGACCCTAACTATAGCGATTAAAATAAATATCCGGAATTATTCAGAGAGGTTGTATTTGAATATTATAAAATAAAACACAAAGAAAATTGTTTATTAACATTTTGCCGGAGTGCTAATAAGCCAAGTTTATTGCATAATTACCTAAATAACATATGTGAGGTGTAATACCCGGACAACATTCGTGATATTCATACGAACATCATGTCGTGATTTTCACAAATTTTATTCATACTGATATCATACGGAAGTCACCGCGTGATAAATGAAAATCAACATATGTGAGGTGTAATACCCGGACAACATTCGTGATATTCATACGAACATCATGTCGTGATTTTCACAAATTTTATTCATACTGATATCATACGGAAGTCACCGCGTGATAAATGAAAATCATACGAACGTCACGTCGTGATTTTCACAAATTTTATTCATACGGATGTCACTGCGAGAGAAATGAAAATCATGTTTTATGCCAACGGTTTTTGGATAATCATTTTTGCGCCACGTTCGTACACTAAGAGAAAAATTATGTTGAATCAACAGTTTTGCGGTTAAATAAATTTAATATTTTCTTGGATTTAAATCCAAGAAAATATTGAATGTTAAACTGTTGATTCAATTGTTAACATACTTTTTCTTTCAATGTACGAATGTGTCGCAAAAATGAATATCCAAACACCGATGGCATAAAAAATCATGTCGTGATTTTTTATGACCAAACACCGATGGCATTTTTGCGCCACATTCGTACATTGTGAGAAAATGTATGTTAACAATTGAATTAACAGTTTTTGCGGTTAAATACATTTAATATTTTCTTGGATGTAAATTAACTATTAATTTAAATCTAAAAAAATATTGAATATATATAACCACAAAAACTGTTGATTCATTATACATATATATATGTAGATATACTTTTCTCTCAATGTACGAATAAATATCCAAACACCGATGGCATAAAAAATCACGACATGATTTTTTATGCCATCGGTGTTTGGATATTCATTTTTGCGATACATTCGTACATTGAAAGAAAAAGTATGTTAACAATTGAATCAACAGTTTAACATTCAATATTTTCTTGGATTTAAATTAATTATATATAGTTAATTTAAATCCAAGAAAATATTAAATGTATTTAACCGCAAAAAATGTTGATTCAACATAATTTTTCTCTTAGTGTACGGACGTGGCGCAAAAATGATTATCCAAACACCGTTGGCATAAAAAATCACGACATGATTTTTTGTGCCATCGCGATGCATCGGTCAATCGCAAACAGCGATGGCATAAAAAATCACGACATGATTTTCATTTCTCACGCAGTGACATCCGAATGATGTCCGTATGAACAAAATTTGTGAAAATCACGACGTGACGTTCGTATGATTTTCATTTATTACGCGGTGACTTCCGTATGATATCAGTATGAATAAAATTTGTGAAAATCACGACATGATGTTCGTATGAATATCACGAATTACACCTCACATATGTTATTTAGGTAATTATGCAATAAACTTGGCTTATTACCACTCCGGCAAAATGTTAATAAACATGAATATCACGAATGTTGTCCGGGTAGGTTTTAAATTCGCAGTTCGCAGGGCTCATACGCATGCGCAAATTTTGCAAATATCACAGCGTGAGTTCTACATGATATCACTGTGATGAAGCATGTGTATGCACTCAGGATATCACAGCGTGATAAAAAAAATCACGTTGTGATATCATCATGACTTCACCAGGAAATCCCGATTGTTGTCCGGGTAATTATAACAATTATAATTTTTTACATACGATGCGCTTGACTTACTTTTATTGTTGCCACTGTACGTTTTATTTTAATAGTTTCTTTTTATACGCAAATATTCATCTAATCCACAACCAACACAACAAGCTCTGTTCTTTAGCAGTTCGCACAGACTGAAAATCACCAAATACTTGCTGCCATATTGTTCCAAACACTTTTTAGACACAATATCGATTTTCTCAGCTGACTAATTAGAGCACATTTCTGTCATGTAATGGCATCTTCCCGCGTTTTCAAGATAGCTCTACTGTCACTACTTACCAAGTGTTGCCGTTTGCGGGTATTTTACTCGGAAATCGGGTATTTTCGTCATATTTTGCGGGTAGAATTTTGAAGCGGGTGAAATCGGATATTTTGTAAATTTCGATCAAAATACCAACTGAAGAAATTTTGAGTAAATAATATTGTATGTTTACTAAAAATGCATAATTATTTTATTCTATATAGGACATCCTAGTTTTTTTTGGTATTTTGTAATTTTTGGTTGGGAACTTTTAAATAAATATCTTTATTGACGGATTAACCATTAGAACATTCTGACATTCATCCGGCAACACTGTATAAAACACATGAAGCAATGAAAGATGTATCATATTTGTTTTATAATCTGTGTATGAGTTCGACTGTCGTCCATATCACGCCTATGCGTTGCGAAGAATTGTTATAGTTGTATTATACCTTATGTACTTAATCAACAAGAGATCTGTATGTACACAAACCAAACGTATCTCCCAACTATTTTATTCTGTTCAATTAAAATAAAGTTTGTTTACCTATATTGTAAACATTGCTTCCATGTTTTTATAAGCCCTATAAGAACACAAAAACAGTGTTTATAAATACTTTTCATTGTGCTTTCTTTTGAAATAACCAAATAGAACATCTCTGAATAATTCCGGATATTTATTTTAATCGCTATAGGTACCTACCATTTCTCTGCTAAAAGTCTAAACAAAGTCTTATTAACTCTTTCAGAAGACTCCCAAATCTTGCTATTAGTCTGACTTACTAAGACTTATTCAGACTTTTTCCGACTTAAGTCTTATTCAGGTATAGGGCAAAACTATACATGAAACGTTTTTCTTTTCTTGTAAATGAAACGTACAATTAATAAAAGTAGAAAGTGAGGTTAGATAGATCTGATAGATATCGAATTTTATAGTTAACACGGTACAAACGCGAATGAATTACTAGTTTTTGCAACTACTCGATTGGTCGAAATTATTTTATGCCTAGTTCCTAATCAATTACTTTAGTATCAACTTACAATACTGCCAGGATATTGGTTTATAACTTTTCTTAATTCTTGTTTACTAAAAGCTAGCTGATAACTGACTTCAGATGCTTTTACACCACTTGCTACTCTAGCTTGAACACCTTCAAAAAATGTCTAAAAAATAAATTTTATCAGCCAAACTTATTTTAATTAAGGATTTATTAATGTTTACATTAAGTTTTTCCAGGGGTCTTCCAAAATATAATGTTACATAAGCCTGTAAGGCATCATTATATTTCTGCTTTGCTTCTTTTCTTTGAGTATCAAGAACAGATATTTTTAATTGAGATAGAAGAGAATACAAATGATGATAATTCTCTAAAAAATACAATCATAAAGCTAATCTTGCAATATTTTCTGCATATTTACCCATTTTAATGACCTGAGATGGAGTTTTCTGATCAATTGAATGAATAGAAATAAATTCTATCATGGTATCTACCAGCCTAATATACCATTTCTCTAAATCTGCCCCTCTTTCGCTTTTTAATAAACCTTCCGCATTTACAGCAAACTCTTCAAAATTAAAAACGTAAGGTAGAACTCCAATTTTTGATTTCCGCGCGCAACGGTAATCTTTAATTGAATCTATTTGCATTTGCATGAACTGATCCAAGGATCTTTTAACCTCAATTAATTCCGATCCAAAAGTGTTACTTAAAAAGGAGCTCTGAGCTGACATAACATGTTGATTTAGACGCACCAAAACATACATGCAATAACTAAAAAATATATTTATAGAAACTGTTTTTTTAGTTGATTTTTACTTACAAGCTGTCCTGTTTTTTAATGTGATCTATTAAACCATCCAGTTCAGTTTTAAGGCAAGAAAATAAGCTGCTCATCATGTTTCTGACATCTTCATTAATTTGCTTTTCAGCTTTTTTCTGAGACACAATTTCCACATTAGCATCCTGGCCATCCAAGGTGGTAAGGGTGTTCTTGGAACTTGTATTAATAACATCCAACTAGAATATATAAACTGATCAACGAAGTATTAAAAAATATATAAAAAACTTACTTGAAAAAAGTTGACGCAGAACTGCTGCTCCTGCATAAAAACTGGTTCCAACTGTGTTAGAACTTGTTCTAAAACGCTGTCATATTTATTGCGATCCTGAGAGTTTGTATCTAGGGTCCATTGGTCCCTATCCAATCCGATAAGAGTGGTGGGCGTGGTCGCCACGCCTACTACCGGTATTTTTTCCCTTGCTGAGTCAAATAAGTTCTTTAAGTCCCTATTATAGAGTTTCCCTAAAGATTCTGTGTAGACTTTCTTCATTTGCTCATAAGACTTCTTATCCATCACCTATGAATATGTGGACATAATAAAATAAAAACGTTAAAAATTACTAATTCCTTACCCTCATCCAGTGCATTAGTTCAGTGTAAGCTTTTAATTCTTTGTGCACTCCACTATGCTGTGGCAAAATTAAACCTTCTTTTTCACCCTCACCCTTGTGGTTACCATAATGTATAAATAAATTATTGAGCTGTCTGCTTATATTGTAGGAAAATTTGTGCTTGTATTTGTCGAATTTTTTTCTCTGGTCTTCAATTGCTTTCATTTGCAATAGAGCTTTGTCTATATCACAGTTCATGGCAACTTTTAAGGCATTTCCTGCTTCTATTGCTATTTTAATTCCTGCTGGCGTTTGGAAATCAGTATCCTCAAGTACTTCTATGTGTTTTCTGTCTAAATTTAATTTGGTAACTATACTTTCAAGTTCATTTAAAAGCAACTGATCATTTTTATTGACAACAGAAATCAGTTGGTTCTTTTTCTCCATTTTTTCCATTGTTTCTCTAACATGACACAAAATCTCATCATAAGAATTTAATCTTGATTCTAGATTATCAGCTTCATTTATGGCATCTTCAAGTTGCTCCATTAAAGATTCTATTTGTTCTTCTGAAGCTAGTATAGACTGTATATTTTCACCATCCAGTAAAGATAAATCTTTCGCTAATTTTTCCATAAAAGCCTCTGCATTGGTTACAGCAAAATTACAGCTTGACATCAATCTATAATACAAAACATAAGTATAATCACAAACCATTGTGAGTATAATTTTAAAATGTATTTCCCGTCAAGCGGCCAACAACAAAAATAAAAAACTATAAATCTGACAAATCACATGACAGTTTGATAGAAAATAAGCCTATGAAAAGTTGACTTTTGCAAATAAAAATTTAAACGAATGCATTAAATATTGTAAATGCAAAAACTTTAAAAACAAATTCTCGAATCGACGTTTACAATAGATTTGCGTAGGTACAAATGGTGAAAAAATTGATATGTTTACTAAAAACATAAATAAGCCAAGGCGCGAAAAAGTTATAACTTATACACTTGTTTTTATGTACCTAGAGTGCCGCAGAGAGCGCCCTCTACAATCTACTACAAAATTATTAACAAATTCAAATTTCTTGACTCAAATAACCCTAATCACAAAATTGTAGAGATGGGAATCGGAAAGTTTCCATTTTAAGGAAACTTTCCGTTTTGGAAAGTTTCCAATTGGGAATTTATTTTCATTTTGAAAGTTTCTTTTAAGTTACCAGAAACATTCCTTGGAAACATTCCTTGGAAACTTTCCTTGTTTTTTTCATTTAAATGTCAATTGTTTAACCGCTGATTTTCGTTAAGGCCATGATACAAGGCCAAGAAACTTTGAATAAGAATTTAATGTGTGTTAATTTAAGGCAGAAAAAGAAGTATAAATAATGTAAGTTTTGTTACATAACCTCAATGAAGCCGGATTATTCAGCATCATCACAAAAAACCCTGGCATAAAAAAATATTTTCGCTATAAAAAAAAATTTTTTGAAACTTTCGGAAAATTTCGGGAATTTTCGATGGAAAGTTTCCGGGAATTTTCGTCAAATGGGAATTTTCCCATCTCTACAAAATTGTATGCAAAAATAAATTAATTAGGAAAATCGAAAATTAAATTTTCACTGGGTTACTATCAACTTTTGAAGTAAGGTAAGTTTGGTCAAATCGTAATATTTTTACCCAAGGAATCTGCAGTTTTACCGTGTAGTACCATTAGATATGGGACACCCTGTATATATACCTATAATTTAAACAAAATCGCATCCACTAATTACGTGAGGCAATTTTGGCGCTTTTTTATCTGTAAACTAATTTACTTTCCATTTTTTTAACTAATTTAGACATTGTTTTCGTTTTAGTACAGTTATACAACAAAAACAAATTGTAAGCAGGACTCAGGCGTACGTTGCGGCGAAAAATATATGATTAACGAGTACGCGGCGCTCAACTTGAGAGACCCAAGTACATGCTTTCTTGGGTTTGGCTGACATAGCACAGATCATATTCCAGTGCCCATCCTGAATGTGATAATAAATATTTACCTTGATAAATCCTCTTGTTCTTTTTCTGTGATAGCTTGAAAATCTTCAGCCAATTCGTTGTCCATTGTAAGCAAAGGGGATGTCTCAAAAGTATTTTCAGGTGTCATTACATCTTCCTTAATCCATGATTCCTGTATACCCTTAAAAGTAGGTTTATCTTTCATTATAAACTTTGACGTTTGCTTCCATAAGTTGTGGATAAAAGCTTGCCTCTCCCTAACATTTGAAGCAACCCATCGATAAACCTTATCAAATGTTAAATCAAACTCTAGTGTATTGTTTGATATGTGGTGCCCATCAACTGATTTAAGTTCAGCCAAGGCCCAGATTCTTTTCTTTTTAAACCCTTGTTTATCAGTTTGTTTTACCTGAACGATAGAAATGTTAATTGGAACAGAAGTAGAGCTAACTATACACAAAAATGATGTTTTCTTCTTCTTTAAATATTTGCTAACATGGCAGCAAGTTATTAACCGTTCCTCGCCAGGTAAGAATAATTCTTGCTGCAAGGCATGTCCTATAGACATCATTTTGTACGTGTTTTGATTTAATAAATACTTAAAATCATAATAACAAATATTTATATTTTTATTTACAGGTTAGAAACACCCACTTGTCACTAACGTCAAAATTCAGAACAAGCAACTTGGGAACAAATAAATGTAATATCAAATTCGAATATCTTTCTATTAAAATTACCATTTTAAGTTCAGTTGAAAAAATAAATTGAATTTAAATTAAAATACTATAATTTACTTAAAAAAAGGGTAAATTTTATTATTTTATTTTTTCAATTAATATCGTTATGTTGGTGTTACTAACACAACTTCGTTTTTAAATGACAGTTAATAGGAACGCCATAATACAAATTGTCATTTTACGCTTATTATATTTATTGTAGTTTGATGATTTAAGATTCTACAATCAATTTTTTCAAATGGTAAGCAAGCTTTTAGTTTGTGCCAGTATTTCCATTATAATTATATTTTTTTGTATAATTAACTATAACTTAGGGGCGTTTTTCCTTTATCACTTGTTATAGTATGTTAATTATGTATGTTAATTAATTAATAAATTCGTTCCAGGCCGACCGATCACCGCCGGAAGAAGGAAACATTTCCTTAATAGATAACACTTTAGTGGTTGATATTTCTGATGCACTAAGTGAAAAAGATAAGGTTAAGTTTACTGTCCACACTAGAACAACATTAAAAAATTTTCAAAAATCAGATTTTCTGGTTGTTCGCCAGCATGAAGAATTTATTTGGTTACATGACAGATATGAGGAGGATCTTAAATATGCAGGGTACATTGTAAGTAATTCCCATATGATTCTTATAAGAGCTGAGTTGGATAATAATATTTTATTAACAAATACTTGGGCATTTTTATATTTAATCATTCAATCAGGAATTGTGTATTTTTATTTTATAGATTCAGTATTTAAACTGTTGATAATATTTTATTATTTTCCCAATGCCAAGATGCTGAATCAGCATTTCAAATTTCTGATGCAGTGAGTATTTTTTCTTGTGCATTTAAGTAATAATAAATAATTTCAACCTAGTAAATAGTAATAGTAAATATAATTAATTTAAGGAATAATTATTTCCTGAATTATACATTTTTTTATTAAATTTATTAATGACATATCTGCCTTAAACATGCTAAATTTGTATTGTATGCTGATGGTACAAATGTTTTGCTTATGCCATAAGCCTTATGGATAAAGAATTGAAAAATCTTTGGATAAAGAATTGAAAAATCTTTCCAAAAAATCTTTCTTTGTGTCAAATCAATTTAGTACATGGTGTCAACAAAATGGATTACTATTAAATGTTAATAAAACAAACTTTATGCAGTTTTTTCCAAAAAATGCAAGGCTTGATTTCAGCCCTATACATAAACATTAATAGTTTATCAATTTCAGCTCGCGATACAGTAAAATTGGTATAACATTGGACCCAAAATTGACTTGGGAACCACAATTCTTTATGTAAGAGATTAAGCTCCTTATGTTTTTTAATAAGATCCTTTAGAGACACAGTCTCCTTTCCTGTATTGAGATTAATGTATTTTGTTGTAATTCAATCTAAACTCCTGGACAAAATTAACGCAACATCAAAAAATTTGCCACATTTTTTATGCTATTTTTTTGTTGAATTTATGATCCGATTTGAATGATTTTTGTTTTGCATTGTAGGTTGGTTCCTTGACAATGTCATAATTTTCACTGTTTATGATAAAAAGTTCATTTTGGATTTATACCGGGTGTAATAAAAATGTACTGTTTTTTTCCGAAAATTCGTATCACCCTGTGGAGTATACTAGCAACCGAAACCTATAGCAGTTAACATTAGACAGTAGGTCCATATTTCGCGAACATATTCTTTTTTGGTTTACTTCATTATCTCTGTTATTAAAGGAGATACGCTGTTTTATAGCGTAACATGTTTTTATAGACTTTATTATTCAAAACATTAATTGTTAAATGTTTTCAAGTAGGCTATGGAAAATTCGCCATACTTATAACAACTGTTCGAAAACTGCTTATTAAATGTTCGTTTCGTATTTTAATCTTGAAAAATGAATCGTCCAAAAAAATTTTCGACAGAAGAAGCAGTAAAAGACTTAACTTTGGTGAATGAGGGCTATTCGATGTCATGTTGCTAATGTGATAGGAAGACATCGTTCGACTATAAGTCGTATGGTTAAACGATTTAACGAGACAGGATCTTACTCTTCAAGGTCAGGACAAGGGCGAAAACGATATACCGATCCAAGGGATGAGCGTTTTATTAGGCAAACTGCTCTAGAAACAGGAAGATTACTAGTACAAGGCTAAAAAGTGAGCTTAGAACTGCTCGCCTTAATACAATATCGTCTCGAACAATCAGGAGACGTTTAAATGAGGCAGGAGAAGACCGGCAAAGAAACAATTACTTACCATAGAGCACAGAGTTTTAATATTGCGTTTTGCCAGAAATTATCATCATTGGACTGTTAATGATTGGAATAATCTTTTATTTTCTGATGAAACGAGAGTTAGTCTCAATGCTCCTGATGGTGTGAACGTGTTTGGGGAAGGTCAGGAGAGAGATTTGCAAGTGGCAATATCTCTCCTAAAATCCCGTTTGGTAAAGGCTCAGTAATGATTTGGGGAGGAATATGCTTCAACGGACGCACAGAGTTTGTCCCTATACGTGTAAGATCAATAAACGCCGATTATTATCTAGAAACCATGTAATGCCATTTGTTCCTTTTTTGGGACCTAAAAGTTTATTTATGCAGGATTATGCATTTATCAAAGCGAGCAGAAATTATACAATTATGCAGATAACAAATAATCTAAACATCTCTTGAAATGTCAGAAAAGGTCCATAGCCTACTTGAAAACATTTAACAATGATTGTTTTGAATAATAAAGTCTATAAAAACATGTTACGGTATAAAACGGCGTATCTCCTTTAATAACAGAGATAATGAAGTAAACCAAAAAAGAAAATGTTGGCGAAAGATGAACCTACCGTCTAATGTCAACTGCTATATGTTTCGGTTGCTAGTATACTCCACAGGGTGATACGAATTTTCGGAAAAAAACATTACATTTTTATTACACCCGGTATAAATCGAAAATGAACTTTTTATCATAAACAGCGAAAATTATGACATTGTCAAGGAACCAACCTACAATGCAAAAAAAAAAATCATTCAAATCGGATCATAAATTCAACAAAAAAATAGCATAAAAAATGTGGCAAATTTTTTGATGTTGCGTTAATTTTGTCCAGGAGTTTATATTGTCCTATGGTATTATTTTTTAGGGTGTTTCAGCTCACTTTGAAAGAGTAGGTATTTTTATTACAAAAAAACTTATTAGATGCCTAGATAGGGTAAAGGCACCAGTAATTGCCACTGTACCAGTAGTTGCCATTTATTATTTAGAAATTCAAAAACAAAGCTATATGCAATATCTGTGCATATCCCTTGTGGAAATTTTTCTCTGAGAAAGTCTTACTTTCTCTGAAAAAGTCTGAATAATACTTATTAAGTCGGAAAAAGTCAGAATAAGACTTATTAAGTCGGAAAAAGTCTGAATAAGTCTTATTAAGTCAGACTAATAGCAAGATTTGGGAGTCTTCTGGAAGAGTTAATAAGACTTTTTAAGACTTAATAAGACTTTTAGTAGAGAAATGGTAGGTACCTACGGAGATAAAAATAAATATCCGAAATAATTCATAGAGGTTGTATTTGGTTATCGTAAAATAAAACACATAGAAAAGTATTTATTAACATTTTTGCTGTTGTTGTAAGCCAAGTTTATTGCATAATTACCTATATGATAACATAGGTAAGATGTAATAATTAGGTATAACAATTATAATTTTATACATACGATGCGCTTGACATGCATGCTTCCACCATAGAAAAAGGAGTTGCCACTGTACGTTTTATTTTAATAGTTTCTTTTGAAACACGCAAATATTTACCTATCTAAACATTGTTACAAACAATAGACGTAAGACGTAATATCGAGAGACCAGCTTAGCTAGCTGACCAATTAGAGCACAGCTGACCTGTCAGTGGGACACAGTGTTGCCGTTTGCAAGTATTTTACTCGAAAATCGGGTATTTTCATAATATTTGCGGGTGATTTGCAAATTTCTATCAAAATAATAATAAAAGAAATTTTCAGTAAATAATATTGTATATTTACTAAATATGCACAATTATTTTATTCTATCTTGTTACATTTTTATTATTATTTTAGTATTTTGTAATTTATGGTCAGGAACTTTTATGGCAACACTGTACGTAAACACGAAGATCAACCATGATACAAAGATGAATGAAACACGAAGATCAACCATATTTGTCTTATGAGTCTATCGAAAATATCATGTCTATAGACTTAATATCAATTAATATTAACTCCTTTTTCTATGTTGGAAACAATGAAAGCATGTTAAGCGCATCGTATGTATAAAATTATAATTGTTATAATTATTACACCTTACCTATGTTAGTATATAGGTAATTATGCAATAAACTTGGCTTATAACAACAGCAAAAATGTTAATAAATACTTGTCTATGTGTTTTATTTTACGATAACCAAATACAACCTCTATGAATTATTTCGGATATTTATTTTTATCTCCGTAGGTACCTACCATTTCTCTACTAAAAGTCTTATTAAGTCTTAAAAAGTCTTATTAACTCTTCCAGAAGACTCCCAAATCTTGCTATTAGTCTGACTTAATAAGACTTATTCAGACTTTTTCCGACTTAATAAGTCTTATATAAGAATATTCTGACTTTTTCCGACTTAATAAGTATTATTCAGACTTTTTCAGAGAAAGTAAGACTTTCTCAGAGAAAAATTTCCACAAGGGATGGCGTACTGCATATGTGTAAGGAAGTGTATCTAGCGTATTATGTATTTAGAACAACTGTCACCAGGTGGCGCATTTTTCGACAGGAAAAACATATTCAGGCAACTTGTTGAATCAGCTGTTTATAAAAGATTTCTTGTGACTTTGGTTAAGAAAGTGTAAGATTAGTTTTTCGTGATATTTGCATATGTTGTTAATCAATTTGAGTTTTGTTTGTGCAATAGGCGTATATGCTAAGTAGTTTAAATAAAACGCATATAAATTGTTCGTTAAATTAAAAGAGTATTTTGATTTAGAGTAGTGGCAATTACTGGAGCATTTTTTTCTTTTAACCCAATATTTGCCATTTGTGGTAATTAGCTACTGGAGAATTTTGGATTATCGTATTACCTTTATTAAAGCTCTACACTAACCTATAATATTTAGTTTATACTTGACATTAATAAGAACATTATATTCAAAGAGAATCCAGTAATTTCCACCTCTTTTTGAATGTGTCAATTACTGGTTCACTTTAGTGGCAATTATTGATCCAGGTATAAAATCCAAATTGATCAACATGGAACCAAAAAACAAGCCCTTTTTTCGTTATTCCCAAGAAAGTAAAGAATCTGCATTGGCTGCTTGCCAAGGTGGTATGCCATTTTCCATTTTTTTTATTTAATAAAATAAATTAGTGGCAATTACTGGCCAGGTACACTGGCAACTACTGTTTTTTTTTAAATGGTCATGGCAATTACTAGTCCTCTATAGGGGCATTCCAAGTTACTCGGTAATTTTTGTCCCGCCCGTCACAATTAAAAATTGTGAGTAAAAGCCACAAGTAACTTGTGGCTTTTGTGACAAGTTATTAAATTAATATTTTATAATATTATTTTTATTGTGCTTATAACTTATTAAAAGCATAATAAACAATAT